GAGGACGAGCCGAGAAGCAGCGCACACCCCCGTGCGCCCCCATGCCGGGGAAGCCCGCACGCAGGGTCCTGTGGATGCAGGAGGGCGCGTCCCAAGCCTGTGTCTGCTGCGCTGAGGTCCAGACAGAGGCCAGGGCAGCGCCCTGGCTGCAGAGGCCGCCGGGAAGGGCCAGCTGAGCACCGGGAAGGAGGCAGAAGACCGGCGGGAGGGAGGCTGCGAGTGGACACCGGGTTCAGGCACCTGGGGGCACTCACCTGGTACGCCCTCCAGCCCCGTCTGCGTGGCTCCAACTCCTGCCCAGAGTGTCCATCTCCCTCTGCTCTGCTTCTCTCAGTCCTCGAGCCGTGCCGACTCTGCTTTCTCCCTGCAGATGCTCGCTCCCAGCAGCCAGCGAGGCCTCCCCAGCGCCAGCTCGGCTGGAGCGTCCGTGGCTGTCATTACCCCAGGGACACAGTCCGAGCAGCACTTGCGAGTTTCTCGGTCATCTGGCCCCTGCCCACCTCCCTGCTGACCCCTCGCCCCTCCTCCCGCCCCACGTGCCGTGCACGCCCACGCCACGGTCATTTGTTGCGCCGTCATCCATCCTTTCGGCTACTACTGTGTCCTGTTGGCTTGTTCTCCAGGTTCAGGTCAGAAGCGCCGGCTTGCACATTATCTCCCCAGAAGAGGACCCTTGGCTCCCTCCTTGAGGCTGACACCCCCCGTCGGTGAGCTCCCTGTCACCAGAGGTGGCTTGGCTTTGCTCTTTGCTGCCATCAGCGCTAGCCAGCCTGTGCCCACGGTCTGCCACTCTGTGCCAGCACATAACACGGGTGGGCAATCAGTAAATATTTCCTGAATGGATTAAGTGAAATCAACTTCTCACTTCCATGGAAATTCCCCACCAGAGCTTTTCTTAAACAAGAAACTGTCTTAAATGACTGGAGGCTTTAAGTCAGCTAATTTGGACGTTTGAGATCAGGCTTTTCGAAACAACAGGTCAACAATAGCTCGGGAGGCAAAAACATAGATGTGCCTGTGCTCAGTCACTGCAACCTTCGGCTGCACCTGCCCCTCCGGGCGGTCCTGTTAGCCCATTCGATAGGGAGTAACCTTTGGCTGAGGGAGCGGGAGCTAAATAATCCCTGATTCTGTAGCAGCAATTAGTTATACATCTATTAATTTGCTGCTTTCAATGTAGGGGCCGCTGAAAAAAAATCCAAGAAGCGAGGTGATGGGGCTGAACAGTCATCCATCCTCCACAACCTTTTCAGAAAATGAGCCCTGAAACAATCAGCAGCGGGCCTCATTAACCTAGTACACTTTAATCTCCCACCAGAAGCCGGGCTGGACCCCTGGAGTGTGGACCAAGCCCCCTCTGGCCACCTGGAGACCTGCGGGGCTGCTCTGCCCGCCCAGGGCAGCTCATTACCCGCCCTCTAGTCTCCAGCAGCAAGGCGCCCTCCGCCCGGCTTCCCGCCGTCTCAGGCACAGGCTGCGGTCCCAGCACATCTCCCCAGGCCGCTCCTGGCCTCGCCGAGCCCCCACTCTCACCCAGGCGCCTCGCACTGGCCCCCCAACCCTCCCCTGCCCAGCCCCTTCCCACCAGGAAAGCCTCCCAAGTGGACAACGAGAAGCAGCTTCCAAACCCCAAGAAGCACCCTGTCTGCCATTCCACCCGCGAAAGCCCCAACCGGCTTCCTCCTCCTAACAAACAGGACTTGGGGGGCCCCTGCTGTGTGCAAGCTCTGGGCTCCACAGCTCCACACCTTCTGCTCCCCAAGAGCTGACGACGCACCATGCTCTTCCCCGCATCACCCACCCCCCCGCGCCTCCCCCACCCGCTGGCCTCGGTGGCTCCCGCCCCAAGGGCCTTGGCCCTGGATAAGCCACTGCCCTGCCCGGCTGGGGCTCAAGCGCCCTCCTCGGGTGTCCAGGTGGCGTCCAGGTGGGGCGCGTCACCAGCTCAGCCCCAGCAACTCAGGTACATCAGGCTCGCGTGCCGAGTCTGGTCCGAGACCGGCCCTCAGGTGGGACAGAGGTCTCAGCCCCGCTAGCCAGGTGGGGGGCCTCTGTGGTGGTGCGCTGACGCTGACGAGGACAGCGGAGGACCCGCCTTACAGAGGGCGTCCCCATCTGCACCGCCACCGCCCCGTCTTTTCGCCGTTCCCCACTCAGCTGCAGGCTGAGTTCATCGCGATGACTGCTCTTCCGCGGCTAAGCGCAGTGTGGACACTCGTGGGCCCAAGGCCGTGCGCCGGGCCAGCCCCGCCGCTCTGGTGCCCGCTTGTCAGATGAGGTAAGTGAGGCTGGAGCTGCCGAAGGGCTCAGCGACTCCACGCAGGGGGGGAGTTGGGGCCTGACCCCAGGGCAAGGGAATCTAGTAGGGAAGGTCTCTCCTTGCCAGAGGTAAAATCCTTGGGGCCCAAGGCACCTGGCTTCTGCATTCATAGCGCACTCTGCTCGGCAGGTGTGGGGCCCCGCCCCGGCCCCGCCCCCAGGACCCGACCTTCGATCAGGAAGGAGCGGATCTGCTTCTCCTCCTCCTCCAGGTCCACTCCAGGCGCGCCCAGCTAGACCACGCCCCGCCCCGGCCCCGCCCCCAGGCCCGCACCTTCGATCAGGAAGGAGCGGATCTGCTTCTCCTCCTCCTCCAGGTTGACGCTGACGGCGCTGAGCGGCAGCTCCCCCTGGCGGCGGGGACGGGCCTTAGCCGCGCAGGCGCTGCCCCCCCCCCGCCTCGGAGGGCCCCCCAAGGCGCCTCCCCTCTCCAGGGCCCTTCAGCCCCCCAACCCCAGCACCCTGCGCCGCGCGGGCGGCCGACCCCGGTGTGGCCTCGGTGACCGCGGCCTCGGTGACGCGCCCCAGGCAGCAGGGAGGCCGGTGGGGGGCGGGGGCCATCGCCGCCTGTGCCGGTGGCCAGGGCAGGACCCCGGGGTGAGCCAGCCCTCCCTGCCCACACGGGGCTAAGACCAGGCTGACCAGGGTGTGGGGTGGGGCCAGCTCACTTTGTCCCAACAGGCCCGAAATACAGGTTCCACCGCGCCCTCCCCCCACACAGGGCGGTGCCCCAGGCGCCCGGCAGCCCCACCTTGAAGCACAGCCCGTCCGCTTCCTCAGAGAAGATGGCCAGGGACGTGGGGTACAGGACCAGGAGCCGGTCCCACTGCTCCTAGGGGGGCAGGGCACGGCACAGTGGCCCCACCTGCGCCGAGCCAC